CCATCTTCCGGCTCGGGCTCCAGCACGACGTGCGGTGGCTGGCCCCGCCCCTTCCCGCTTTTACGTCACCGCGGCGAACACCCCGCCCCGCTGATGTCATCGCCGGCCAATCAGGGGGCACGAAGGGGAGCCCGGCTGGGCGGGGCTCTTAAAGGGGCCGGCCACTAGGAGGGGACAATGGGGGTGGGGGTGTCAGAGGGGAAAGCCCAGGGACCAGAGGGGATGGGGATGGGGACAGCATAGATTGGGGGCTGGGGGGCTTCAGGGCGGGGGGCATCAGGGCTTGGGGGACCTGGGGGGCATTGGGATGGGGTATGGGGGGCATCAGGACATATGGAGTCTGGGGGCATTGGGGCTAGGGGGCATCAGGGTTTGGGGGACCTGGGGGCATTGGGATGAGGTACGGGAGGCATCAGGACTTATGGAGACTGGAGGACATCGGGGCTGGGAGATCAGGGGGCATTGGGGCTAGGGGGCATCGGGGCTTGGGGGACCGGGGGGTATGGGGGGCATCAGGACTTATGGAGACTGGGGGGCGATTGGGGACTGGGGGGCGACCAGGGCTGGAGTTTGGGGACTATCAGGGCTGGGAACTGGGGAGGAAGCAGGGCTGCTCCTGCAGTGTTGCCATAAAAAGCACTTAAGTCTAGGTGCCAAGTACACCGTTACAGAAGTACATCGGAGTACAAGTATGTTGTGGAGATAGTACTTATGTATTTAAAAGTACATGTGCAAGTGTTCTCAACTCCCGTATTCCCTGCGATTGTCTGGTCAATATATAAAAAAAAAACCCAGTTCCTTTGCATTTTTTTCTCTCCTGATTCTGCAGCCAACGCAACTTAAAAAATGACTGGGATACAGAAGCAGCAGCAAATGACTTTGTACTTCTGTTACTTGCAGCTGTATCACAGCTCAAAATATTCCGAAACCGGTTTCTAAGTCCCGCCTTCACATTTTCTACCAAGCAAGAAAAAGCTCTGGCAGGCAGAACTCAGGGTCTGAAGCTCCCAAGCCAGGTTCTAGGGACCAAACAGAATACAGGCGAGTGGAGAGGCAGGTCATTGTTTCAAAAAACTATTTTGAAAAGGTACTCCTAGATCAAAGAAAATTATCCTTTAAGTACTTTTAGAATGTATTGAAATACAAGCATGAAGTACAGAATATGTCAGGTACTTAAGTACAAGCATGTGGAGTACTTTAAATACTTAAGTGTGCACTTAATACAAGTGTACTTACATACAGGTGAACACACGGTAGGGAGCAGTGAGGGCATCAGAGCAGGACGCTGGGGGGGGGCATCATGGCAGGGACATTTGCAAAGAGCAGTACTCCCCACTGTGTCTTTCCCCAATGACCTCTGACCCTCCCATAGCATCTTTCATTCCCATACATCCTGACTGTCTAATCACAGCCCCACCAAAGTGCAGCCACCTCTGGGGAAGGAGCAGGACATGCTGCACAAGGCCGGCCCCATTGTCAAGTGAAGCTAGGAAACATACAGGCGGAGTGATTTCTCTACCATCCCTTCAGAGCCTTGCATTGAGTAATCCACCAGGGTCTTGAATACAGAGCCATATTTACAGACTCCAAATCTGACTAAAGATTAAAAGTTTTGGCTTGACATTCTCCCAACCAAACCTTCGTTTAAAGGGGGCATTTCAACACCTTCTGTTTAACAGGATATAAAACTCCCACCAAGCGAAACTACCCCCTTTATTAATCACACGTCATTCATAATAATACATTACAGCCTCAGTTTACAGCCGCAACTCTCCTTTAATTAAAAAAAAAAAAAAGAACTGGAGAAGGGGCTTAAAGTAAAAAGCCGCAGGACAGCTGTATCTTAAAATGTCTTGCAGGGTGAAGCACAGGTTTGTAGGACAAACGCTTTGCTCTATGTTTTAATGCTGGTCTTTTGCTGATCTTCCCCTTTCAGGAACCAGAGGAATTTAGCTGGGGTCATTTTTGCCAGTGTTCATATTTTAGAGGACAAATGACAGGGCCTGTAGTAACATGGCTGGGATCCTGCTCTCCGTGTGTCTTGATGTGCTTGCAGTTTGCCTGGTTGTAGCTGCTTGTATCTGTGTGGTGACTATCTGTGTGGCATGGGATATTCGGTGTATGGCTCAATGCTGGTTGAATACTTTCAGTATTGGAGCGAGGTGGATCTGCCAGGGCTTCATCCATGAGGGTGACTATTTCTCCTCCGCTGCTGGGGGTTGCAGCCTGGCCGTGGGAGGGCCATCTGAGTGGGAGTCTGCTATGTTGGGGATGGATTCCCCTACCGGCCTCTTTTCTGGGCCCATTTGCAAGGGAAGGAAGGAAGTTGGAGCATCCGACTTGCCACGACTCTGCTCGAAGAGCTACAGCAAAGGCCATCCGCCAAGAGCTTCCCCCCACCCTGTTATCACCTTGCCTGGCGAGGACGCCCCAGCACTGGGAACTGCACGCTCCCCCGCCTGGCTCTGTGCATTCCCCCCGGAGGGGGGTGCAGCCCGGGTGAGCACCCACCCCCCCCCACACCCTAATTCCCCGTTGCTTCACTCAGAGCACTAGACAGCGGCATCAGGACAGGCAGACAGCTGCAGCTGCCACTTCCCCCGTGTTCTGCTCGTTAGGCTTTTTGCAATCAGGACAGTTGAACTGCCACTCCCTCCAGGCTGGCCCTGCTTCCCATGCCCAGGCCGGTTTGCATCACCCTGCACAGGCTGGCCGAGGACAGGAGACAGCTTACCTGGCTGGCAGCCAGCCCCACGCTCTGCTGGGTGTGAAAGGTGGAGAAAAGCCAGTCTGAAAACAAACCACCAGAGTGTGTGTGTGTGTGTGTGTCTGTGTGTGTGTGCGTGTGCTAGGGGTGCAAGACCGTCTGCTGTCAAAGGTCACCTGCTCCTTGGCCACTTCTGCATTTCCAGTGGCACCCAAACCACAACATGTTTGCAGAAGCGGGGCTGAAAGCAGGTTATCAAACCTTACCCCACACCTGCTGCTGCTCTGGTGCATTCTCCAGCGTGCACCGCCAGGAGCCTGTGTGGGTTTCTGCCCCGTGGCAATTGGTGGATTAGGTTAGATGCTCCCAATATGGATTTGGTTATCCTACAGCCCCAGCCCTAATCACGGGAGCCATTAAACACTGCATGGAAACACACCCACAGAACTGATATACCTTTGGGGCTAATGCAGCCCACTCTGGTTTTGAGAGTGTGGCCTTCTGGTTTGGGAGCCTGGAGACCTGGGGTCAACTCCTGCTTCTGCCGTCTCCCCGACTGTGTCCCCTCAGGCCACTCACTGAACCGCTGTGTGTTTCAGTTCCCCACCCGCCCAATGGGGATTTGTCTCTTGTGCTGGCAGGAGCGTCTCTCACTGTGTGAATATCCAGCACCTAGCACAACTGCTCCTTGAGTTCAGAAGGGGCCTGGAGGTGCTGCTGGAATATAAACCATAGCCGTGGCCTTGGGAGGGGCCAATGTGACGTTGTGATGCAGGTGTTGTCACGACGTGACATCCTTGTCCCAGGGGATGACGTTTGAAAAGTTGCAACCCGCAAGGTCAGGCTGGCAGTGGCCAAAACTTGTGACCGTCCAGTGGCTCTTTGGTGGGTTAGGTGGGCCTTGGTCCAGGTGGGCACCCATGACACACGGCCCTTTGACGGCAGGCTCAGCAGAGAGGTGAGGGTGAAATGGGCCATGGAGTTAAACTCTTGCCTCTGGCTCTGGGGAGGAGCCATGGCACAGGGAAAGTACTGGGGGAAATGAACGGAGCATTCCTTGGGAAAGTCAGTGCCACGCGAGTCCCCTCTGCGAGAGACCTTGGCCACATTCTGCGCAATTCTATTTTAAAATCTAGCAACTGGGAGAAGGGACTTGTAGCCATTATCCCTGGGAAGGCGACTTGCCCCTGGGCAGTGACACTGAGGACTGGGGTGACGAGAGCTATAGGTAGTTACACTCCACAACTAACATCTAAAAGTCTGTGCTGAAGTGAAACTGATTTCACCACTGCATGCTAGAGCCCTTCAGTGGGAAAATACAATTGACAGCTGCCACCTGCTGATCTGACTGAGAAATGAAGTGCAAGACTGGATCTCTAGTACACTCGTGCCCTCGTGTGTGTGTGCGTGCACACACACACACACTCACACACACACTCTCACTCTGCCCAACTGCAGAGGGAATTTGGTGTGCGCTATCCCTGTATGATCCTTCCCATACCAGAGCTAGCTTTGATCTAGCTAACGTAGGTACCAACAGCAGCGAAGCTGCAGCAGCACGGGTCTCAGCGCAGGCTAACCCCTGAGTAAGAACCCAGGGGCCCAGGCAGGCTTGGACAGCCCATGCCGTGTGGCTTCGCTGTTCCCACCCCCGAGCGAGCTGGAGTACCCCTACCTGTGCTGCAGTCACCTCCCTGGATTGCACTGCAGACGTAACCTGTGGGGGGACGGGATGAGATGAGAAAAGTGATCCAGGGGGGAAGGAGAGGCTAGGCCTGGGGAAGCTGCAATTGGATTAATTTGCACAGATGCTACTCACATGGGGGGAGGGGGGATAAGACCGGGGCTCAGTTTACCCCTCTATAAATAATAAACCCTCCTAGCACTTTACAGTCGTCTGACAAAAGGAGTTCTCAATCTCCAAAGCATTCCGGCTTGCTTCCTTTTCCACACTTGTTTTTTCCAGCCAATAAATAGCCCCTTGCCCCCTAGGTGCCCCCTCAGCCTTCAAATACTTTTTCCCCCTTTTAAAATGTTTCCTGTTGCATTAGCAAAACCTGTAGGGTCTTAACAAGGGTTTGGGGATGAGCAAGAATCAACAGAACACTTTAGAAGGGTGGGTGGGTGGGAAGGTTTTGATCAATTTGGAGTAAGTGCAGTGAGTTTCAAATCAAGGCCCATTGGAAGGTGTGAACGGACTGCTGGCCTGTTGGCGTCACACCTGGTCCATATAGGAATTTAGACCTCAGTGCTGGCCAATCACAGCTCCTTGAAAGGTATAAGACCCGTGCGAATGGCTCAGAAAGTTGTGAGTAGCAGCAGTGGTGGGTTATCCTGGGAAGTGAGACTGCCATGATGTTTTGCCTCTTTTTTAGCCTATTTTTTCTGAGTGGGGGGGCTCAGGGTGGCTTTAGGAATGGGGGGGCTCTTTGGGATATTAGCTGGCTGACCTGTGGGCAGAGAAGCTTGGTCTTCAGCCTGCTCCCAAACCAGACTGAGGTGGCTCCCCTTGTGCTGAGAGCTCTGGGTAAGTTGAGCAAAGCAAAACTCCTTTGGTCTTTCTAAGGTGTTGCTGGGATTCTGGGAGACAGTATCCCCTAGCAGGTAAAGCTGAGGAGGTGCTGTGGGGTCTCTGACTATAAGTAACTTCCTGGGGTGTTGGGTCTTGTCTGCTTGCCTCCAATGAGGGTACAAAGTCAATGCATATTGACTGTCCCCAAAGCTTTGAGCTCCTCAGATAAAAGGTGCTAGACCAGGGAATACCTTGGGAGCCATTGGCCCTGTTACTTGGCAGAAACTGGCAAGTTGTCTGAAGTGGGTCAACTCCCCCCTCTCCCCTGATTGCTGGTGTACTAACTAATCCAGTAATGCATGTGAACATAAGCTATACAGGGTCAGCCCAAAGGTCCATCTAGCCCAGTATCCTGTCTTCTGACAGCGGCCAGTGCCAGGTGCCCCAGAGGGAATGAACAGAACAGGGAATCATCTGGTGACCCATCCCCTGTCTCTGCTGGAGACCTGGCTCTGGGGTGAGGTGCACTGGATGCTGAATGACTTGGCTAAGGTTATACCTCAGTTACAGCTGTAGGGGGAGAACTAACCCCAAATACAGCAGAGAAATGCCAAGCTGCTGAGGTGGTGCAAAGAGGGGGGGGGGTGGCCTTTGTGAGGCTAAAGGGGAGGAAATGGAGTGAAACCAGCCCTAAACCATGTGGGCTGGTCCATGGCACTGGCCTGTCTCTGAACAGTCTGTACCCTGTAAGGAAGGTTCCTACTCCATCACCACTGCTGACCTTAACTGGCCACGCTTCAAATGTCTGTGGTGGAAGGGAGGGGTCAGTGGCCCCTCCAGGCTGGCGTGACCGACAGCGGGACTCCTCTGCAGCGCCTCCCTGCTCCGGGTCTGGCAATGGGGGAGGCAGTAGCTCTGGGACTAGGAGGAACAGGGCTGATGGTGCTTCATCTGTTGCCCCTCTTGGCCTCCAGATGCAGAGGGCAGGCCCCAGGCTCTGCAGAGCAACCCTGCCTGCGGGACGCGTGTCGAGCAGCACGCCAATGGCTCCATGGTGGTCGAGGCGTTCTACACTGGGTGTTATGTCAACGAGAGAGTAAGGCCCTGTCTGGGACCCCCTCGGTGTGAATGGGATGGGTAGCAGTGCTTATGAAGGGGGTGTGAGGGGACCATGCTTGGATCTGTCTGCATTTAGCCATTAGTGCATGGAGCTGGGAGTCAGGAGACCTGAGTTCTAATCCTGCCCCTGCCACTAACTTCCCATGGGGGGCAAGTCTCTTCACATCTGTGCCTCAGTTTCCATGTGTCCAAGCCTGCTCCGGAGCTTCAGGAAGGCTGAGGCACGGCCACTGTCTGCACCGCGTCCTGAGAGCCTAGGCTGACCAGCGCTGCGAACATGCAGCATTACTAGCCGGGGAGGACTCGACATGTGTTCGCTCTACTCCTTTCCCCACCCCTGCCTTGGAAACACTTGCACTGACCTGGCTTCTGTCCCTGGAGCTAGTGATCTCATTGCTTCAGAGTGATGTCACTGCAGCTGACTTGTCTGGCCCCCTCGATCTGCTGCTCTGGCCATCGGTTGCTCTGCTGGCCCAGCTCAGAGGGTGGAGTCCACCGCGCAGAGGGAGAGTTTGGCCGCAGCAATGCAGGGAGGAGGATGACCCCAGTCTGTGTGGGGAGGCCTGAAATCCTCCACCTCGTTTCTTCTCTCCCAGTAAAGCTGGCTCTGTCCCTTGGTTAGCCTGTGGCTCAGGGCCTGCCTGTGCGGGGAGTGATCTGGCCTAGCTGCTAGGTCAGGGAGTGAAAGTCAAATCTTGGTTTCTTGTCTGTTCTGCCCCTGAGATGCTCAATCCATCCAGGCCAACTAGGGCTAGGGTCTGTGACATTGGCTAATGCCACTGGCTCTTCAAGGGGAGAACATGGCACCGAAGGCAGAGTATCAAGGCTGGGGGGAGGGTGATCTTTGCTCTCCAGGACTCCCAGCTGCCTGCTTGTCCCCTGGTGGGACTGACTCATGGGTCCATGGGCCCACCCAGGGCATGGGCTGGGGGTGGTTGTGAATCCTGCTGTCCCCCTTAAATCATTCGTGCCCCCTGGCTCTCCTTGAGCACATGGTGCTGGGGAGAGACTCTGGGTGGCTTGAACCATCACTGTGGTGTATCCTCTGCTTCCCGCCTAGGATGGCAGCTTTGTGATGACAGTCCAGATTGAAGGCCCTGTGGCTTCCTACAAGGAGGAGCTGAGGTGCCCAAACCACCTTCTAGGTAAGGGGCTCTGGGGCCAGGGATGGGACTGCACTGTCTCTAGGATCTTCCTGAAGGATGCTGCTTGGTGTAGCTGGAGGCCTTGTGTCATGGAGTCCCTGGGCAATGCTCTGGAACTGCTCCCCACAAAGCCAGTCAGGACTTTGGGGAGCCTCCTCTCCCTCGGAGCAGACTGTCTTCAGGGCAAGAAGCTCACATGGCTTCAGCTCCTGGGTCTCTCCTGGGAGCATTCAGCATATGCCCCTCCGTGCGCTTCCCCCAGCGAGTCTGCCCAGGTGGGGCTCTGGGGAAGCCAGGGGGTCCTGCACCCCCACTTTGCAGTCAGATGTGATTCTTAGCCAGCCAGTAAAACAGAGGCTTATTAAATGACAGGAACATGGTCTAAAACAGAGCTTGTAGGTACAGAGAAGGGGACCCCTCAGCTGGGTCCATTTTGGGGGGCAGTGAGCCAGATAACCCCCTCTGCACAAACTGAAACTCCCCAGCCCCTCCTCTCTGGGTTTTGTGGCTTTCCTGGGCTGGGATGTCACCTGATCTTGGTTCACCTTTAGCTATCCCCTTGCAGGGGGGAAGGGCCCCAGCCATTAGTTGCCAGGAGACCATGTCAGCCATGTATGCACGCTGGAGACTTACAAAATGCATAGGGGAAACTGAGGCACCCACACAGTATTCAGAGGAAACATTAAGAACAGTCACACCTTGTCTCTGGGCTTGCTGTACCAGCTGCCAGGAGTTAGACACCTCCCTGAGGAGGGACTCGGCCATGGGAGATGCTGTTTCCTGGTCCTCCCTTTAGGGTGAATAACAGGGAGGGCTGTCTGAGCAAGCACCCATCTTTGCCCCTCTCCCTAGCCCGGGATGCCCCGAGCCCTAGCGTGTGCTCTGCCGTCCAGGCCTCAGCTCGGCTGCCGTGTGCTGCCCCACCCACCACACAAGGCGACTGTGAAGAGCTGGGCTGCTGCTACCAGCCCGGTGACAGGCTGACTCCCTGCTACTATGGAGACAAGGGTGAGCAAAGGCTTTCCTCTGCCGCAGGGAGCCTTGGGGCATCTCTGTAGCAGATTCTGGAGGGTGTCTGGGAGGAAGAAACCAGTTGGGGCTTGGGGACCAGGGCCTGGGTGGGCTTTAGGACCCAGTGATGGAGTCTGCCCCTTTGAGCCCAGGCCTGTCCTGTCACTCTCATCCCAGTGACTGTCAGGGGGCAGGACTAGTTCTAGCTGGTCTTCTCCCCTGTCTAGAGGCTCCTGCTTCACGGTGGGGGTGGGCAGGGGTCCCCAGGCAAATGGCTCCAGCAGAGGCTGCCGCTCCCTGCTGAGATGCTGCATGGCTCTTCCCCAGTGACTGCGCAGTGCACCCCAGATGGCCAGTTCTCAGTTGCTATCTCAAGGGATGTGACCGTGCCACCCCTGGACCTGAGCTCAGTGCACCTGGTCAGCGCTCATGGCAGCAGATGTGCCCCGGTGTCTAGGAATGAAGCCTTTGTTGTGTATCGCTTCCCACTCTCGGCCTGCGGGACCACTGTCCAGGTAAAGGAGGGCACCAGTCAGTCCTCCCTCTGCTGGGCAAGGCACTTCCTGAACTCATCACTCTCTGATGCCACCTGATTGTCCTTGAGGTTATGGGTCGGGGGAGAGTCGCTAACAGTCACCATGAGGCTGTATCTGATATGTCCTGAGACTATTAGACTTGCCCCTTGCAGCCTGGGGTTCTGAGCCTACAGCCTCTGCTTACAGGTGGTCTCCCAAGGTTTGGGCCCTACAAGCTCCGCTAATGCGGAGCTGTGATGAAACACAAGCAGCCTACAGACCCTGCTCCCTAGCAGCTGCTAATGCTTGTGAAAGTGGTTCATGGAAAGGCCAAATCGCCTTGAGGCAAAGGGACCTATGGGCAGGAAAAGAGGGGACATGGTGCCCATTGCTCTGTCTGGGTCCCTACATGGAATGAGCTTAGTGTCTCTGGAAGCTGTGCTGGCCATGAAAACAGCCTGTTTGGTGTAGCTGGTGGTCTAGTGGCATGTGCACACTGGGGTGTACTAGTCCTGGAATGCCACCTGAGATTCTAGGTCAGGGGGAGGGCCTAGTATATTGACAAGTTTCTGGTCAACTTGAGAACATGAGCGAAGTTGGGCTGGGCCTCTACTATGCAGACTGGCTCCAGTCACATCCCCTCAAGACTTTTCTCCTGCAAAAGAAGGGTAGTGGGGGGCACAGCCTGGGCCATTAGATCTTGGACCTGTTGGCTGTGGAGGTTTGAGCTGGCTCCCACATGTGAATTCTCCCTTGCACAAGAACTCAGCAGCTCTGAGAAGCTCTCCCATGGGAAGGCCTTTCTTGTGTGTCCAGCCTCTCTTCTCCTCCTCCCTTTGCAGGCATCTGGAGACCAGCGGGTGTATGAGAATGAGCTGGTAGCAGACCGCCAAGTGCTCACCTCCCGTTCTGGCTCCATCACTCGGGACAGCACCTTCAGGTAACAGGCCTGGCAAAGCTTGGAGGCCTCTGCTGGAAAGGGTGGGGTCCCTTGTCAGCCAAGCAGAGTTTGGGTCCCCTGCCTAGGGGGAACCTCCCCTCCCAGGGAGGGCTAGGGGATGTGCACTGGCATGCTCAACCCACTGCTGAGCTCCCTGCCTGGATCTCATCCTGCTGGGGGAGGCCACCTGATCCCCTGCAATTAAAGGGAGGGGGGCAGGCACTAACCACTCACTGATGACAAGGTCTCAGCCTGTCATCTGAGTGTGCTCTCTGGGAGAGTCCAGAGGGGACCAGCTGTCTGGCCTCTTTCCCCACCCAGGCTGACCATCCGCTGCAGCTACTCGGCTGAGGACTTCCTCCCTGTGAATGTTGTGGTCTCCACCCTTCCTCCACCGCCCCCTGCGGTTGGGCAGGGACCCCTAGCCTTGGAGATGAGGCTTGCTACAGGTGACTGCACGTAGGCCTGCCAAGCACTTGAGGCTGCTGAAACATTTAAGTGTCTGGCCCACTTGGATCACTGCTCCTTGGGGGGTGGCAGAGACCCACCTGCCTGGATGGTGGGGGTGGCTCTGCTCCCAGAGCTCCTGTACCCACTGGGAGGGAAGGAAATCTAGGTCCTGGCCAAGCCAGCCTGGATGGTCTCTTGGCACAGCTGCACTGGTCTCTCTCCCTTCAGGGAGATGACTTTCCTGGTCTGCCTCCCAGTGTCCCAGCTAGGCCCCAGGGCATGGTTCAGACACTTGACCAATACCAGTGGGATCTGGTCACCAGGAGGAGAATAGGAACCAGGGGAAGTGGGTGATTCTGCCCCAGCACTTGCCCTGCCAAGCCCTCCATGAAATCAGTGATCCGGTCACTGCAGGACTTGGTCATCTCACTTCATTCTTGCTGCAGATGAGCACTACGGCACCTACTACGCAGACCGTGAGTACCCAGTGGTGAAGTTTCTCCGGGACCCTGTGCACGTGGAGGTCCGTATCCTCCAGAGAACAGACCCGAGCCTGGCTCTAGTCCTGCACCAGTGCTGGGCCACCCCGAGCACCAACCCCCTGCAGCAGCCAGAGTGGCCGATCCTTGTGGAGGGGTGAGTGAGTGGGCAGGGATGGGAGCGGGGCAGTGACTGCCAGGTGAGAAACCTCAACCCATCCCTGCTTGTGCCCTTCCAGGTGCCCTTATGAAGGTGACAACTACCAGACCCAGCTGGTGCCTGTGAGCGAGGCCTCAGGGCTGCAGTTCCCATCTCACCATCAGCGCTTCATTGTCAGCACTTTCACCTTTGTGGACACCACCTCCCAGCGAGCGCTCTCAGGCCCGGTATGGTCCCACTCCCGGGAAGGGATTAGTCCTGGGACTTGCCCTGGCCAAGCCGGTGGGTCAGGGATCCTCCCGCAAATGGAGCAGAGACTGACCTGAAGCTATCTTGCTGCCTGCCCCTCTCCTGGCAGCTGGGTGGGGAGCACCTGAGTGGACAGAAGATCTTAATTTAGCCTAGTGTGACCAGCACTGGCTTGCCTGGCCTAAAGCCGACCCCATCCAGGGTCTGGAGCCAATCATGACCCTGCAGGCCAGTCTCCTGGCCTTCGCTGCAAAGCCCCATGCTTTGTGCAACTGCATGACAAAAGTTTCTGCTCTGAAGGGCTCTGCAGGAGGCAAAGAATCCCATTACTGTAGCTGGCTGGATGTCTCCTGTGGCTGTCATGAGCTGGAAGTTCTTAGGGTGGAGGGAGGCCAGTGACCCTCTGATGCAGATCCTTCCTCCCCCCCCCCCTTAATCCATCCTTGCCAAGCATGAATTCTCTCTGCTTCCAGGTGTATTTCCACTGCAGTGCCTCTGCCTGCATGCCCTCTGGGCTGGAACGCTGTGTAGTCCAATGCCCCACGAGCCTACAGGGGAGGAGTAAGTCTGTTCCTTCTTGGCATCTGCCTCTTGGACCTCTCAGGCCTGTTGAGAGCCAAACACTTGGGCCTTTCCCATTCTGTCCCCTTCACCCCTTCCCTTAGCAGACTGCTGGGCCTTCAGATCTGTGGATCTGGGGTGCTGGGTTAAGACAGGCCATGAAGGCTTGGCTACAAGCAGTCATGGCTCTTGCTAGATTGAAGCTGTCTCGTCAGGCCTCCTGCAAGCTACCCCTTCAGGGGACCTCTAAGACACCCCCCCCACACACACACACACACTTAGACTGGCCATAGGCCTCTGGCAAGACACCCAGGCACTAGCCAAGGGGCTTGAAGGGAGACCATGGATCTCCCCTTCCTGGGTGCACAATGACCACTTCTGTGGAGCCTCCTCTGCCCCAACTGTGACCCTGAGCACCTCTGAGGTGGCATCTTCACTTTCTCAGGACTTTCCCATGGGGGCTGGAACTGGGCTGCTGCCCCATAGGCCTTGTCTGCAAAGCCCTGGGCGGGGGGGGTCAGCTCTTCAGGGACTGGGAAGAGAACTGTCTTGACACCACTTTACTCTTTCAGCAAGAAGAGACTCCCAGAGCCAAGCATGGCGGGAGGAGCCCCTGAGCCTGGTGACGGCTGAGGGGCCTGTGGACTTCCGTGCTGGCCAGGAAGTGGAGGAAGACCTTGTCCAGGAAGAAGGTAATGGAGCAGGCCCTGGGGGGTGGGGGGAATGGTTCCTAGGGGTGGAATGGGACCATAGCATCCACCTGCCTTGTGAGGCAGGTGTTCAGTATTAAACTGGGGGGCTGGATACTCTGGGAATGGCCAGCTCAGAACCTCCCAGGTCCCCTCTCCTGGAGGAGGGTGAGGGGCAATGGGCATAGTATAAGGAGGGGCTTTTCCCTCCCTCCAGTGGTGGCTGGGCTGCTGAGCCAGGGGAGGAGACACAGAACAGCCCCCAGGCTGCTGGTGGCACCATGGGGCGATGCTTAAACCTGGCCAGAGATGTGAGGGAGCCCCTTGCTTCCCATCAGGGCCTAGCATAAAGCTGCTTAATTCTTCAGTGGCTCCCTACCAGCCAGTCAATCTCAGGGGGGAGGGCAGGTGTAGCAGTCTGAGGGAGCCCCTTGGGCTCCAAGCCAGTGCACCTTCAGTGGAGGGGTGGCTGAGCTCTGCCAAGCCTTGGCAGGCCTAGGAACTGCAGGGGGGGGAGGCTGCTACAGGGCAATGGGGAGGACTAGGGCAGGATCTGGCAGTGACCAGCTGTGTCCTGGCTCCTAACCAGCCCCTCCCTCCACAGGTTCCCATGGACTCAGGCCCCCGGTGGAGTGGGGAGAGGTGCTGGTGCCACTGGTGGGGGCTGTTGCCGCTGTTGCAGTTGCTGTCGTGGTGGCTCTGGGCCTGAGGAAGCTCTGGGGCAGGCGAGGACGTGCCAATGGGACCACACGTACTTAAGGAATAAACAGATCAAGTGACTGATGCCTCCTGTCCTTACTGGTGTGTGGGGAAGTCTACCCGGCAGTGTGGGTCTGGGGCAGGGGAGAAGCAAGGAATCCAGAGGGAATCCAGGCACTGGGGACCCATAGCACCAGGCAGGCCTGGCTCATTGCACCAAGAGGCAGCTCAAGGCTAGTGGCCTTGCTGACTAGGGGAGTGGTGCAGAGGGGGACCTGCAGGGCTGGCAGCAGCTAGTGCTTAAAGGAGGCAAAGACCCTGCACCTAGGAGGCAAAGACCCATAGGGAGGGCAGGGTGGGCCTCTCATCAAAGTCTTGTCTTGCCAAAGCAGCTAGCTCCAGAGCTCTGCTGAATCTCCCATACCCTGGGCTCAGGCCCCTGTATGAATGGGGGAGGGGCACGGGGGGGCAGCAGACAGACCCTGATTCCTGCAAGCTGGTGTCTGAAACTTGCTCAGCAGCCTTGGCCTGGTGCCCTCCCAGCGGGTCCTCCCTCAGTCGAACACACTCATCAGCTGCTACATGGGGAAGGTTAATGGACAGGGCGCTCTGGCGGAAATTAAACCCTCCGCCTACAGAAAGACAAACAGGGGCTTCTGCACTGGCTGAGTCAGGGGCCAACCCTGATATCTCGCTCTTCCTGCTGGCAGGAACACATGAGCTCTAAGGCACAGCAGGCCTGGCTCTGGTACAGGGGCTCTCTGTTATGGGGCTGGTCTTACTGCTCTGAGCCACATTCTGCTGTTGTGATTTCCACTGTTGGAACAAGTGGACTCTGGCTGTCTCTGGGGTGGATGGGATGTGTGCTCTAGACTCCCCTAGGGGCTTATTCTGGGGACCAGTCCATGGGGGGGAGGTTGGACTCCACTGTAGAAAGAGGCTGTCCATGGTGTAAACTCCACCTCACTGTAGTGGCTCAAGGTGAACTCTAGTACCACTTACCTCCAAGCTCCTGGTGACAGCTGGGGCCTTCCCTGTCCCTTGAGAAGGGATCCAACCACTGGCCCAGTCTGGGAAGGGAGAAGTTGGTCATCGAACTGCCTGTGAGTAGCTGCAGGGAAGGTGGTGGATCAGGCAGGCCTGATCCTCCAGCTGTGGTGGGCTCCCCGTGGAGCAGGGCAGTACCTCAGCTAGGTGTGGGCACAGTGAGTAAAATAACTGTAGCCAAGGCTCTAGCCAGACCTTCCGCTGTAACCCATCATCCAACATGGCACCAAGCAACTCCCACAGTTCCTGCTTCATCCAGGGCACCCAGGCACTCTGCTGCTGGATGCTGAGAGGAGGGGACCAGGTCCCCGAGAGGGAGTCTCTTTGGACTGGTTCAAGGCTACACCCTGTTCTGTAGCTCAAGTGGGGAGTGTCTCTTGTATCCTCCTTTCAAAGGGGGAAGCCGTTCCCCTTAGTTACTCCAGGCCCAGGCTTGTCAGTCAGAGTGAAGTTGCTCAAGTGACCTGGCCTAGGGTAAATATCCCACTTGGCCTGGAATAAACAGGTGGGGCAGGGCCAGACTGGCCTCTGCTGCCCCTCCCTGCAAGCTAAGGGGCAGGTAAGTGGTGGCTGCTCTGGCACACCTGTTACATGGGAGCCGGTTGAGCCTTACAGGTGCTAATTAAGAGGGGTGAGGGCAGCAGAGGCTCACTGGTCGTCCCCCCCCCCCGTTACGGGGGGAACCAAAGGACTAGCTGGGCAGGGGTCTGTCCACTCCAAGGGCCACATGCTGGTGGGGAAAGGGCTCCAGCTGCTCTGCCTTGTGAGACTCTTAGGACCAGTGTGACCTAGTCTCTCAGCCCAGCCCCTTCCCACAGGCTGTGGGGTTTCCAGCAGGCCTGGGGTGGGACTCTGCCTCCTGGCCTGGCTAACGCACCCAGCTGCTCTCTGGCATGTGACAGAGAATTGCAGCAACTGGCCTGCATGGCAAAACAGCGGGTTTCAGTTTCTTCCCCCTGGGTGCATTAGGTCAGCTGTGTCCTGTGGGTGTGAGAAACAGCCCCTGTGGGGTGTGCTGGGTCCTCTGGTGGCGTGACAGACAGCAGGGCCTGTGCTGAAGAGGGAGGAGAACGTGGCCAGAAGTGGCTGCTCCCAGAGAGGACTGAAGCCTGGGGTGACACTGCCGCAGGAGCGTTTGAATTCCCTTTGCTGACCCTGATTCTGGGCTCAGACGTGAGGCTGTGGCCTCGGGAGAAGGGAAGTTCTCTCCCCCCTCTAATATTCTAGAGCTGGAGCAGTGCACTGACCACGTGCATCTGGTATTTGCAGGGTCTATTCCATTATGGAGGGAATGGAGCTGGTGAGGGCAGGGATCTCTAACAAGTTGCAGAGTGCCTGGGGGGAGAGGATCATTAGCATTTCCTGCTCAGGCCAGCTGGTGCCTAGCCCCTGAGCAGAGCGGGTCTGTGCCGGCTCCTTGGGGGTGCTGCTCATATACTGCCAGGGCCTGCACTCAGCCAAAGCCACCTGGGCTGGTGGCAGCTCTGAGCTAGGGGCCACTCGCCCTGGCCAGGCGGGAAGCAGCCTCTCCACGCAGTGATGGCCTTGGCTGGGAGCCTGGCTGCAGTGACGCCAGTAGGGAGGGCCGGCTATCACCCTTCCAGCTTCACCACACCTCTGCTGAGCGTGTGGTTACTGGGTGGGAGCCTGGTGCGTGTCTCAGGTGACTCACTGATCTGCTAACTGCCTGGGTGGGGGCATTCAATGGAAGGGGCCGTTGGACCAGGGCTAGGCTGTGTAGCAAGTCAGGGGCTGGCTCTGTGGAGGGAAGTGAGCCCTGCCGTAGCGGGGGAGCTGGGAGGGGCAGGTTGCACGTGCACCGTTTGTTACCCACACTCTCCTCCCAGGCAATGCTCTGGCAAGCTCCTTGTTTCTCTAACTGCGTTTCCCAGCGTGTGGCCAATCTGACTGGGGACACAGCCATGTACGGATGGGGCTAGACCCTCCCCATCCTGCGGGGGTCACTTGGAACCTCTCCATGGGCTGGGTTTGCCCTGGTCCTGAGCAGTCCCCGTAGGTGCTGCCGTAAACACCAGCTGACCCAGGAAGAACTCAACAGATGCTTTCAAGGGGCATTTAGGTACCGTGGGCCCACACCTCTGCAAAGCTCCTCACGGTGCCTCCAGCGCTGATGCAAAGAGGCACCCCTGGGGCTGGTCTAAATACACCCTGTCCTGCTTGGTAGCCACCAGTCCAACCCCCCAGGGTGGAAGTGGGGCTGGTCCTGTATGTTGTATGCTGCGTTGGCCCCACCTGGTCTCTGCTAGAACTGTCGGTTTTCCCAAACTGATGCTGTTTCACAGGGACAAACTCTGCATTGAGCAGGCCTGGGAGTTCTGGGAAACCTTCAGAGCAGGATGAGGGTCCCCTGGGATGCTGGCAGGCAGGGAAGTGGAAACGGCGCATCGCTGAAAAGAGCAGGCGTGAGCCACAGGGTTGAGTACAAATCATTTAATAGGGGCCTGGCGTTAGCACCCTCGTCCATGACTGTGTGGGCTCACCACAGGCTGAATGTGTTCTGGGAAATGAATCGGGACAGGGGTGGGATTTCAGGGCAGATGCAGCTTTTGAAAGAAACCGACCCCTACAAGGGCCCATGTCACTATTTTTTTCCCATCTCCTTTACGCTCCCTGCCCACCGGGGGCTGCTCCTCCCTGGGCCTGCCCCTTGTTCAGCCATTTGCACAACTAGGCAAAGTGCACAGCAGCTGTTTTACCAGGCTGCTTCGGGAACATTTCTCGTACCCATCTGGCACCGGAGCTAATAAACACCTGGAGAATCAGGGCCTTCAATGTGACCATTTTCCTGTTGCACCAGCAGCTCGAGCTGCCCTCCTGCTCCAGCACGGGGAGCTCTGATGCTCACTGCAAGGGGTGGTCAATGTGCACACTTCATGCTGTATCTCGGGGGGCAGGTTTCTTTGCTGCTGCTACCAGCTGAGAGCACAGACCGTGCAAACACCCCCTGTATCTCCGTGGGTGCAGGCTGCTGCTGTGGTCTGCCTTGGTCTCTGGTTATTTCCCGGTGACCGTTTGAATTGCAGGGATGGGCTAAAGCCGATACGATCTGGAAACAAGAGAAAATCCCCCCCCCACGGGGACTGCTGTCTGTGGGGAATGCTAGAAGATTATCTGGAACCAAGTCTGATTCTCTATGCCCAGAGGTCCCAGCTGCGATGGGGGCCCTGTTGTCCGGGTGCTGCACAAACACAGAGTCAGAGATGGTCCCTGCCCCGGGGAGCTCACAGTCTAAACAGACACGATGGGCCAAGGAAGCATTATTATCCATGTTAGCGGCCCGTGAGGTTGCCCCGGTCACACCAGGAGTCCATAGCAGAACAGGGGCTTGAACCTGGATCCCAGCCCTGTGCCTTAACCCCCCAGGCTAGCCTTCCTCTCAGTACCTATTGCCTCCAGCACTCCCTCCCCTCCCCTCCCCTCCCCTGCCCTGCCATTCTGCACAGCCTGGCTCTTTGCCCAGTGTCAGGGGAAGCAGGTTCCATGCAGCAGCCAGGGAACTGGCGCTAGGGAGCAGGGAGAATGATTGGCTGGGGGGATGTTCTGCTCATCTCCGGTGTTTGCATGTGGCATAGTTTGCTCAGGTCCCCTCTTCCTGCTGCTCCTTCCTCCCCGGGAGAGATAATCCAAAGCCACCCCTACTGGCACTGCAGGGATGCCCCTGGTGCTCAGATAACCGAGAACTCGGAGACCAGGCCTCAGCTGCCAGCCCCTGGGAGCAAAGCTCGTCCACCTGCTTCCCTTCCCCTGGCATGAGAGATTCCCAGGAGGCACTGAAGTCTCTGTGGCTGGCTCCTATGCTAGCCTCCTCATGGCCTCTTGTGCAGGAGCCACGGCAGGGTGAGATGGGGCTAGAGAGCAGCGTGCTGGCAGCTGGTACCTCGGGGCCATGTTAGAGCAACCCCCAGGCTACTCTACCCACAGCCAGGGACCAAGCAGAGACACGAGAGGCTGCAGCCAGCAGCCTCTCCCTCTGCACTGAGCAGAGAACCGTTGTCCCCAGATCTCCAGGCAGGGAAAGCGGGGAGAAGGGACATGGGAGCTGATTCTCAGAGCTGCTGGCCCCACTGAGATCAGCGGCTTGGCACCGTGGAAAAGCAGGCCAGGCTGGCTTCTCCTAGCATCCCTCAGGGCAGCATGGGAGCAAAGCAATGGCGCACTTTGCACAAAGAGCTCCTTCCATCGCAGGCACTCGGATGGGGAGGGAGCCTTCAGGGCCGTGGGGGAAGTGATGAGCACAGGAGAAAAACCAACCCCACCTCCTGCCAGCTGCCAAACAGGCAAGGTGGAGAGATTAGGACCAGAAGCTGCTCCACAGGCCCCCGTCCCCCCGCCCTGTCCTGTCCTCCTCACAAGCACTTGAGGATGTAGAAGTTGCAGGCCGTCCCGCGGGGGCAGCTGCAGAGTCTCCCGATCCGGGCTCCTTTCCTCACGGCACACGGCTCTCCGGCATCGCACTAGGGGAGAGAAGGGCCACGCGGGTTGGAACAGCCGGGCGGATGCCCCTGGCTCAAAGCTGCCGCCCGCCTGGCCCACAGCTCATTCCCAGGCACTGATCCGTTCTCTCAGGGCTTATAGAGAGCTGCAAATATGCATGGGACACGGCTGCCACCCCCGAGAGCTCACGCTCAACTCCCAGCAACACCGCAGCTGCGACTGTCGTGTCAGGCCCTTGGAGTAACCGGATCTGTGAGACTAGAGGATCACCATGGCCCCTGCTGGCCTGAGAAACTACAAATCTACGGCGGCCAAACAGGGAGTTTATATGGCAAAACCTTGTCTCAGGAGCCACGTTGGATGTTGCATTGTTTGCATTTTGGTTACTGGGTGTTGTCCCTTTAAGAATGGGGGGGCCTTCTGGACGGTGGACTGTGTTTGCAGAGAGCTGGGAGATGGCTGGCCTGCTTCCAGAGCTTGGGAGACCTGCCTGCGTAACCGCTGGCAGGGCAGAATGGGGGGGTTCATCGTATCATTCAAGGAGGCAAACATGGGGGCTGGGAGAGCCCCCATTGCTCATACTGGCGGGGGGACGCAGGGCTAGGGGACGCCCCCCCCCCTTCTCTCACTGGCAGGGGCACACGGGATGTCTCCATTGCTCGCCATAGGGGCTGCTGGGGGTTGGGCACTACAGAAGATTTGGCGTCTTCATTCAGGCTCCCGCGTGGGAGCTGGGCGCAGCAATCTGGCAGGGGCTGTGCCGAGGTGGCACTCGCAGCTGCAGGGAGATTTACTCACCACCTCCCCAGGGCAAAGCGGCCAGGTCACGTTTACCCCCAGGGCTTCGTTAAAGCCTCAGCCCTGAGCCAGACATGGGCGGAGCGAGCTGCGAGGGCCCGAAATAAAGGCTCCTTACCGAGGCCACTGAGCCCAGCTTCTTCTCTATGGAGGGCAGCCGCTCCGTCTTCAGTTTCTCCAGCACCTCTTGGAGAGCGTCAATCTGCGGGCGAGAGAGAGCGAGTGGGGCGGGCGCCAGGGTCCTCATCTCCTGCCAGCACTGCAGGGTTTCCCTTCCACCTGCCCGAGCCGCAGTAGCCTGGTCGATGGAAGAATTCGCCCACCCCCCTAGCAGTGTCGAGGTGGGGGAAGGTCCTCTTGGGTGTGAATTTCTCACGACCCTGAGCGATGGAGCTAGGGTGCTAAGAATTGTCAGTGGGTCTTAGGTGACTGAAGTGGGCTGGAAAGCTTCACCCCGCCTGGGGCTGCCCAGACACGCAGGGAACATCTGTCCGGACAGCACGGCTTGGCCTATCTGCGCCAGCTTAAATCTAGCTCATGCTGGTAACAGCGGGAGTGTGGACATGGCGGCATGGGCTGGGAACCAGAGTACAAGCCCACCAGCGAGCCTGGGTCTGTAGTCTAGCTGCCCCGGCTACCCTCCTGTTGTGACCCATGCTAGCTGGATCAAGGCTAGTCCGGGTGTGCCGCCCTGCGCTGTAATCACATTTTACTGGCAGTATAGCTGTACCCTGAGCGAGAGATGGTCCCCGCCCCAAAGAGTATACACACTGCAAGGCAGAATTATTGCACTCCGAGCGATTCAGTGACTCCCCCAAGGAACTGACCCCAAAGTGCCAGCCCTGCGCCTTAGCCACAAGCCCAACCACTTGACTTTCAAAGCCCCTGAATCAGTATCTCTAGGGGGTCGTTTGGGTGACTGGAGCAGCCAGTGGCACCAACAAACCAGGACTGGTGCTTCCTGCGTTCTCCTGGTGCTTTAGCCTCAAACCCCCCGTCCCAGCAGGGAGGCATGTTTATTCTGCAGCTGCACTGGTGTTTTCCTGTTGCTTAGGATTTTAGCCATCACTCCGCGAAGGAGGACGCTGGAGGGCGTGTAATCGGACTGGGTGCTGGGGTCTGTTACGGAGAGAGGGTGTTCGCTCGCTCAGTTCCATCTGCCACCCTCTGCTACCCCTTAAACACCTGCTGGGCAGCTCATGTATCTGCAACCTTGGGCAAGCGGCGTGGCAAGGCCCAGACGGAGGATGCAGCTATAGGTGATTTTGAAAATCCCACGTGTCCCTGTCTGCACCTTTCCAAAGCTGGGCCTGCCTTTGTAAAAGGGGGGTGATGCCTCTTGTTTTCACCTCCCTGTTCTCGGCCTTGGCTGCTTAGACCAGGAACTCTTTAAAGCAAGGACTGTTCTCACTGCGCATCTGTGCAGCGCCTGGCACAATGCGCCCTGACCTGAGTTCAGGATTCCAGCTGCTATGACAACACAGTAAATACTCTCCCTCTCGCTCAGTATTGATGGTCCCTATTACTGCAGTATTTAAGTGCCTCTTGAAGTATTATTTCCCATTCTATTACCAGGAGCAGCAGGGATCTCTGTAGATCTCTCTCAGGCTGGGAGAAGGTATCTTTGTATCTTTCTGGCCCTATCAACTCTTGTTACCTTAACTCCTTGAAGCTCTACGGCCTGTTGGTATTGAGACCCTGGATAAAATGTGGCACAAAAGGAGCGTTACATGCACTAGAACAGCCATTTGCTGACAAACTTTAAAAACGGAGACCAAATAAACAGCATGAAAGCTCAGAAATTCAGAGCCCTGAGCCATATTTCTTTTGCCAATAGCCCGCCTCGAGCACTGAAAGTCTAGTTAAAAAGTTTAAAACACTAGCTCCAGAAAAATCACCCACTCTAATACATTTGCATCCAGGGTCAAGAAATGAAAGTGACACTAAAGCAGTGGGATCCATTCATTGTCTTTATGCTACCGTCTGTACCAGGAGGCTGTGTGTGTTTTAATCTAACTATAATGGCATATTTACTATTTGTTTCATGTTGGTTTTAACCAAACAACGGCTACAAATCAGTGCAATAAAAACCAATCCGCTTTTTAAAGAAAGTGCCTGGTTTTCATCGGAAAAACCTTTAGCAAACCAACAGCCGTGACTGATTTCTGTCTGGGAGAGAGGAGAGTCCAGTTGTCACTGTTACGTCCCTAGACACTTGCCAGCCTGTTTGTCCTGGACATAGGAAGCCCCTTTCTAGCTATCTGATCCGATCGCAGTAGCATGCAAGTGCCTCCCGAGCATCAACTTTATCCTTGCCAGACCCAAGCATTACCCTGGTTCAGCAAAGGACTTGAGCCCATGCTATTGAACGGGGGCCGGAAAGAGACCAGAGTACATCTACCCTTTGAGCTGGCGCTGTGATTGCCAGCTGGGGTAGAGGTGCGCAGGCAAGCACTGATGGACCCAGCATGCTAAAACCAGCAGTATCCACCTAGGGTCCCAGGCAGGGTTGTGCTCGGGGCAGCTAGCCCCCGCGCTGGCCTGATCGGCGCTCGCGTGGGCTGGAAATCACACCTCCAGGGGCGGCGGTGAAGGGACCCGCTGCCAGGGGTTTTCAATGGGCGCTGGGCACGGCCGTAGACAAAAATCTCAGCCTAAGCGACTTGCCCAAGGGCACCTGGTGCCAGTGGCAGAGCCGGGAAACGACCCCAGAGGCCCAGCTCAGCGCCTGAGCCACACGCCCCATCTCCCACCTCGCCCTTGAGGAGAAGGGCAGCCCCTTGCACGCTGCCCCCGTCCCTTGGCTCCTTCGCCCCTTACCAGGTCCTTTTCTTCTTGGGTTTTGCTGTCTGCAGCCCTGGGCCCCAGGGGCTCCTGGCCGGCGGCCAGCAGGACGAGCAGCGAGTAGCCCAGACAGAGCCGGCAGAGGCGGGAGCTGGCCATGGTCCTGATGCTCCGGCGTGACCCCCTTGGCTCCACCGGCGCTCGGCTTTATACCGCGTCTCGCCGGCACTTTGAATGCGGAGCGACACCTCCCCAGGCGCCGGATTGGTGGAAACGGCTTCTCCGGGGGCGGGGGCGGGGGCGGCCGGGGAGCCGGGGCTGTCTGGTAGCACCAGGCCACCTGTGATGGATTTTAGCCTCCTGGCCCCAGGGCGCCGCCCCTCCATCCGGCTTCCCGTGGGGCGCGGTGACCATGTGCCAGGAGCACTCTGCCCCTGGGCCCCGGGCACGGCGCTGGGCACGGGCCCTGCCGGGGGCTGAAGCAAGCCCTGGCAGCAGGGTAAGTAGGCCTGGCTCAGGGGGTGCAGCACAAGCCAAGGGGCTCGGAACCAGCTGGGTTCTAATCCCATTGCCGCCAGGTAACGCTGCCAGTCCCGCCGTTCCTGCCTCGGTTTCCCCAGGCTGTACAATAGTTACTGATGCTTGCAAAGAGCCGGGGACCCCGACTGCTGGAGCCTGTTGAGGGGAGGCGAAACCCCTGTTTCATTTCGGCGCTAAGCTCTGCGAGGAACCCGGACGGATGGGGCCAAGGCTGCTTGAGAGACAGGCCGTAACTCAGCCCGCCTGGCTCAGCGAGTCTTAAGTAGGTGGAGATGAGGCCCAGGTGCTACGCTTAGCAGCTTAACTCCAAAGGGTGGAAAATCAATGGATGAAACGGGCCAGGGCTGGGACCCCCAGAGCCTCATCGCAAAGCGATTCCACCTTGTCAAGAAGCATCAGGGCTGATCCACCAGGACGCTGTGTCCCCGCCGGTAAATCACTGGAGCTGTCCGGCCCACACACACTAATGGGCCTGCGGGGACCAGCCAACCCCTGAGGCTGGAGCACGGGATTTCCTGGGCGCGTGGCGGGGGCTGGAAAGTGGCAGACAGGCCAGGGAAGGGATTTCTCTTTGAAGGCTACATCCTGGCTCATCCCTCGGTGCAGAGTGATGGGGCTCTGGCTGTGTGACGTCGCCCTTCAGGGGCTCACAGATGGTAAGGTCAGGAGGGCCCATCGTGATCATCTGGTCTGACCTCCTGCACCTCACAGGCCCCAGAACCTCACCCACCCACTGCTGTAATAGACCCCTGACCTCTGGCTGAGTCACTGACGTCCTCAAATCACAGTTGAAAGACTTCAAGTTACAGAGAATCCACCATTTACACTGGTTTAAACCTGCAAGTGACCCCTGCTCCATGCTGCAGAGGAAGGCGAAAAGCCCCCAGGGTCTCTGCCAATCTGACCAGGGGGACATTCCTGCCCAACCCCACATAGTTAGACCATGAGCATGTGGGCAAGTCCCAGACACCTGGGAAAGAATTCCCTGTAGTAACTCAGAGCCCTCCCCAGCTAGTGCCCCGTCTCCGACCGTTGGAGATATTTGCTGCTAGCAGTCGCTGATCGGCTACACGCCCTTGTAGGCAGTCCCATGAGCCCGGGATCTAGGGGCTGGGACATCCTGGGCCCCAGGGGCTAGACATACTCCTGCTTGGACCACAATAGGTGCATCTTCGCTAGGGGGGGGAAATGGGCTTGCGGGACTCACAGTAACACCTGCAAGGTAAAATCCCAGGGCCAATGAGGCAGGTTATAGTTTTCACATGAATGAATAGGTTGAAGTACAGACACTGGGGGAGGGCAGGGCCTCAGGGCAGGTGATCAGCCCAGCCGATGCTGGGCAGAGGCCTCAGGAGGAAGCCGGGTATCACGGGCTGGCTGCGGAGGGGAGCTGTGGGGCCGGATTTGGCTGGAGAGCTGAGCTGCCAGAGTGGGCAGCCAGTCCATCCCTTCCGGGCACTCCAGCGCTCCGTCTACACTACGACTGTGACGAAATGGGACTGTTCTTAATGTTTCCTCTGAATACTGTGTGGGTGCCTCAGTTTCCCCTATGCATTTCTTTAGTCTCTAGGAGGTAGGATAAAGGCCGGTGTGCATAAATGGCAGACACTCTGTCTCCCGGCAACTAATGGCTGGGGCCCTTCCCCCCTGCAAGGGGATAGTTAAAGATGAACAAAGAGATCGGGTGACCTCCTGGCCTGGGAAAGAGACAAAGGCCAGAGAGGAGGAGCTGGGGAGTTTCAGTTTGGAGCTAGCTGGGACAGAGGAGAGAAGTGCAGATGGGGGTGTCTGGCTCACTACCCCCCAAAATGGACCCGGCTGAGGAGTCCGGTTCTCTAGACCTACAAGCTCTGTTTTAGACCGTGTTCCTGTCATCTAATAAACCTCTGTTTTACTGGCTGGCTAAGAGTCACGTCTGACTGCGAAGTGGGGGGGGGCAGGACCCTGTGGCTTCCCCAGGACCCCGCCAGGGCGGACGCGCTGTGGGAAGCGCACCGAGGGGCATATGCTGAATCTCCAAGGTCAGACCCAGGAGGTGAAGCCATGTGAGCTTCTTGCCCTGAAGACAGTCTGCTCCGAGGGAGAGGAGGCTCCCCAGAGTCCTGACTGGTTTTGTGGGGAGCAGTTCCAGAGCATTGCCCAGGAACTCTGTGACAACGAGCGAGGGGGCGAGACCCCTGCCCAGGGGCACGTGCTCTCGCCGCGCTGATCACACAAGCCGATGAGCTAGCGTGAGTATAAATAGCTGCATCGCTGAGCAGGTACCTACCGGTGCCAGGGGGACTTGTACCTGTCATGGGCTCAGCTGTGCCCCCAGGGCCGCTACATGGCTGTTCACTCCCCTGCACCTGCACACGAGCAGGGGGATCACGCCGTAGTGTAGACAGCGCCTGAGCCACCTGGGCCACGGGTGAGACCAGGGAAGCGCCAAGCGGGTGCAGGCCGGGAAGTCGGTTCTGTGCACACGGGGCTTGTCCTGGGGCTGCCAGGGAGCCGTGCGTCGGCCTAGACCTGCTACCCGAGGAACTACAAACTGCTCAGGCCTCACTAGAACTTTGCCTCGTGTCGTTCCCACGGCGGGTGAAGACGAGGCCCGGCTGCCTGGTGGGAAGAGGAACGTCCCGCTGCCGCAGCTGGTGCCGGCTGTCGCTGGGCTCTCCGTGTTCCGATCACGGCTCGCGGGCGCTGAGGATGGATGTGAACGCCCGTGTGCGGCCACCGAGCAGGTCGCCCCAGCAAAGGGCCCCGGCGCTGCAATGAAACGAACCAGCCAGACTCCCCCTCCCCAGAACATCCTCCCAGGAGCGAGCAGCAAACGGTGACGCAGGCTTTCTGCGCAGCCAGCACCCGCGGGAGCAGCGAGGTCTGCGCACGCCCCCTCAGCCGCCGTCACCCTCCCAGGGCAGGGGCAGCCAATTCACTGAGCAAACATTACTTCCCCCCGCCACCGCCCTGCGACTTCTCAGCCTCCTGCCCCCTCGCCAGCAGCCCCAGCGCTGAGCCCAGCAGATGGTTGCAAGCTTCAGCCCTGCTGCAGCGAGGGAGACCGCGGGTGAGTAACTTTGTCAGATGCCGGCAGCACGGCCTCATCTCCCCTGCCCCAGGGAGCCCCATGCCAAGAGCTGGGCCTGGCACTCTGCTCTGGCTGGGCAGATCAGCCCAATCTAGTGGCAGGGAGTTCCCCACACCCAGAGGGTTTCACCCGGGCCAGCGTTTGGGGAAGGCCGGCCAGAGAGCAAGGCAGCCCTTTGTGTAGCTAGGACAGTTGCTTTGCAAGTGGGCCCGTGTGGGCATCTTCCAAGGGGGGAGCTGGTGACACCCAAGCAGCTTGGGGTTTCGGTTCCTTTGCAATAGATTTGGGGGCAGGGGCGGGGCACTAGCGGCTGGGGTTACAAGGCCTGAGTGCGGAGCAGGCTCCCGTAGGGCCAGGCCCCATGCGTCACGGGCAGGCGTCCCCAGCCCCCCGGCCGGCTGAGATCAGCGCTGGCTGTAAACACGATTTGTTTTGCTGAGTCCTTATTGGCACCTGCAGCCGGGCCCCGAGCCATAAATCCTGGCAGCAGTTAGCCGCTGAGCGCCGGAGGAATCAACTGGCCGTCCCCGAGGGGGGCGGCTCCGTCAGCCTCTCCCGGCTCCCGCCCCGTGCTGTGGCTGAAGGATCCGGGGGGAGCAAGCAGAGGCTGAGGGCAGAGTCCCCGCTGGGGCCCCAAGCTAGAGCAGCAGTGATGGGGAGCAACCCAAGGCTACTGCGTCCCAGTGAGGATGTGGGGCTGGGAGTGGGGAGGAAGTTACCTGTCAGCGCTGTGTTTTCGGGGCACCAGGGCGCAGCATGCAGCCTGTCTGTCTCACAAAGGACACCCCCCTCCCAGCCTCTGCTTGGACCAAAACCGATCCGAAGACAGACTTACAAAAAGCAATGAAAAGGCCGTGGGAGACACCTAAACCCCGGATTAGCCTCGTTTGCATCAAAGAGGGGACAGGGAGGCATGCCCCTTAGCATACAGAATGGAGAACAGAGATTCCAAGGCAAGAACCGCCCAGAACTCTGGGACCAGAAAAGCAGGGAAGCAGTGCATGATGGGGGATCTCTGCTCCAGATATCAATGAACCCGCCTGCACACCCCCAGCTCAGTAGTTATCAGACCGAGTCTAGTAATAACTCGGTTATTGGGATCCAAACTACTGAAGCTGCCAGATTGCATCGTGAGCTCCCTGGACGGAACACCATCCACAGCCAGAAATGAGCAGTTCCCATTGTCTAGCCTGAACAAAACAACTTCGATCTACTCCTCTGAGTCATCAGTTTACCCACAAAGAAATCCAGTGTTCTCCCTTGAACCACTGTTCTTTCGCTACAAACACCCCGACCCACGCTCCAGTAAGTGCTCTGACGCCTGGATCCAAACTCTGCATCAGTTCCATGGGGACTTCATCTTCTCCTGACTGATTGTGCTGGGGGCTCGGCCTGTCTCCAGCACTCCGCACCCCCAGCTACCACCACCACCACCTGGGACCCCCGCTCGATCCAAGCTTCACGGAGCGGTGAGAACCCAGCTCTCTCTCCCGCTCTCTTTTCTTTCCTACTCTAGGTGTAGTTTTCTAAACTTGATTTTTGTAATCACATCTAAACTAGATTTACTATTGTCGCTGCTTTGTTTGTTTGGCTCCCCTTGTATGGTTATTCCTGGCACTAAATCACTTTTATGGTTAAGCTGGTTGCTTCCCTCCCTCTCTCTTTTGTGTTTTACTCTACAGCGATGCTTCTCCTACCTAAGCTAAAGACCCCTGCAGCGCCCCAAAAATCCTGTGGGGTTTGCTCATCAAGTGGGTTACGACCCGAACAATTGTAATGTGAAAGGGGACAGGGACGTGCTGAACCTGGGGCATAGGAGGGTGACAGCTGGGAAGAGCTGCTCGACCCAGCCCGCTGAGTCCAGGGGCATATAAGGGGTCAGCGTGGGAGTGCTGCCTGACCCGGTCCGCTCAGACACGCTCTGTTAACGTGTGCGTGTCAACCTAGGGCCTGCAGGAGAGCTCCACTGGAGAACACAAGTGACACAAGCAGCACATTGAGAGAATTACAGACCCCTCCCACCCCAGAAGAGTAACCCAATGAGCGTGCCCCAAAGTTACGGGAAAAGCTGGCAACAGGGAGATTTAAGGCCCCAGGGCAAACCCTTGCATTTACAAAGGGCTCATGATTGTACAGGCAGGACTTTGGCTTCCCCTTCAGGCCATGTGCAGAGAGCGTGCAGCCCAGGCCTCTGCTCACAGGCCCGAGCGGGGCAAGGGGCTGATGCGGCGTTGCACCCCGGCAGCTCCTTGAGGCACCGCAGCACTGGGGGCTGCCCAGACACAGCATGAAGCATTCTGCCCATTTTACAGAGGCCCGGAGAGATGCAGCGACTTGATCAAGGCCACCCAGGGAGTTTATGGCAGAGCCAGGACTCGAACCCAGGACTCACAGGGACCATCCAATCGTCTAGCCTGCTCCTTCCGTGTGTCACAGGCTCGAGAACTGCACCTAGTGACCCCCACCCATGGCCGCTACCCTGAAAAGCCACCCAGCCTTGGAGGGGTGTGAACTCCTACGGGTGTAGGGCACAGCCCAGCGCCTTAGCCCATCTCGGTCCCAGTGAGCGTGTTTCAAACGCGGGAGCCCACCGCCATCCCCCCTCCCACTCTACCCGTCCAGAGCAAGAACCTCCCTGGAGCACAGGGTCTGACAAACCCC